ATTATTGTTAGAATTTTCATTTTCAATAATATTATCTTGATTACTATTGAATAATTCAAAAATTTGTGAATTAAAATCAATAAATGATTTAATTTCTAATTCTAAATTATTTACCATAGTGTTAGTTGAGTTTAAAACAGGAAGTTGATCGATTTCTTCATCTTGAGAATCGTTATCTTCTTCAAAATCATCAAACATAGAATTAACTAATGTATATATATCATTAATGTTTAACTCATTACTTTCAGTTTGCTAAGTATTTGTTTCAATTTGTGAAATATTAAATTGATGAACTTTAGCAATATTTTCAAAGTTTGAGTATTCATTCGTTGTCGCCGTTTACCATAAAGCCAATTTAAAGCTGAGAATGTATGCTCACATGCTGCACTACTAGGTGTAATGGCAAATAGCTGTAGAGCAAGACATTGTAATTCATTTGGATTAACTTCACATGTTGTCCACCAGCTTAATGGCGTATCTTGATTAGCTGTATAAGGCATTGCATATGTATTTGGAGTTCTATCAGAATGTTTTTGTAATTTATATTCCCGTAATTGTGTCATTAATAATTCAAAGCTCTTTTTTGTTTTTCCTAAAGATTTCTATAATATACCAGCATAATAAGCAATTTTAGGAAATGTACCAAACTTAATTCTAGTTTCTTTGTAGGCAGGATGTAAAAAAAATGTTAAAAGGTAATTTGGATCATTAAATTCTTCATATCGTTTATTAAACACTTGAATACAATAATTTCTAAATTCATAATATTCATTTTGTGGTAAATTATCAATTGCAACACCAATCTTAAGAAGAGCAATATAGCAATCTGCAAGATTAGATTGGCTTCCCTCTACTTCAAAAATTCCAGATTTAATTGGTGCAAGTATTTCTGTTAGATATTGCATATCATCAAAAAATCCTCAGCTTTTTAATATAGTAATAACTTTATTATTTGTAATTTGATGTGTAAATTCATCTCTAATTTCTTCTAAACATTTTT